TAGGGGAACCCGGGGCATAACGGAACGGCGGGGCATAATGGGATATGATCTATAACTTTTTACAGAAGTGCTGTTATGTATTGAAATATTTTGCAATTATTGCTATTAGATGATCCTTATCGCATGCTGTTATCAGTTGTCATGTTATTTTTAACTGAAAAATGCTATAAATTTTTTAATGCGTTCGCTGCACTCTCCGTGACTCGCTTATAATTTCGTTGATAGATCAGCATGAGGTAACAATGATAAAATTCTATTTTTTATTACCATAAGTAATTTTACGCTATTAAATAATCTCTTCCAGTCACTTTAGTAAAGTATTTCTGTACAGATATTGATTATCAATGATATTTTGTATTTATTTAGTGTAAAGGTACATTGGGGGCATAACGGGACATTAGGCCGTGGGGCATAATGGTACAATAGGTAACCTCTCCTTATTAGTTGACTCGTAAGTGTTAAGTTAACGGAGCATGTCTCAACAAAAAATTGAAAATTAACAGCAACATTGAAAGCAACAATGAGCAACAATGAGGATATTACACATATTTGCACCTACTGTTCTTAAAATGTTTCATGTAGATGTGATAATAAGTGCTATCAATAAAATAATTATTATTATTAAAATGCAATACTACATTAGTATATTTATTGCGTATTTAAAAAATCATTTTTAATAAGTTTTAAACATTAATATATAAGAAATATATAAGTTTTGTGAGGAGTCCCATTATGCCCCGCATAAAATGATAATCAGTTTAAGTCATGATCTCAATAAAATAAAAATTTCGTCCTTTTAAACTATTCTTTCACAGTAAAACCATTTTTTTTCTTATAGTAGACATTTCAAAGAATATTTTCGTAAAAAATAATTCATTTATGTATTTTCATTTTGTTTAAAATTAATTTTAACCTTAGCGTTCCCGTTATGCCCCGGGTTCCCCTACAGGGTGAGTTATATCTTTTTTTACAACACTCGTGAGAAGATGGAACGTATCGAAATGAACAGAAAAGTCCTGTACCATTTTCAATTTTCGCAATAGATAACGAGTAATTAATTATTAAAAATTATCGTCCTAGCCCGGCCCATCGCCCAATTCGAGCGTGTGGCGAGATGTGACCGCCCGGCGATCGATATTACCAGGCGCACGGAAAGTTGTTTGCAATCGGCAATGGCTACGCACGGGCGGCGCGTAACGCTTGACCCCGCTCCGAGCTATAACAATTTTCTAAGCCTCTTTTTAATGAAAATGAAATTCGGTATAAAAATATTTGTGCGTACGTACGTATGTATGTATGTTACATGAACATAGAAAAATACGGTGCAAGGCAAGGGGGGGAGAGGAAACAGCTAGAACTCAAGCCAGTACTACCTGATCCCGAGAGTCGCGCCAAGTATAAGAGATAGCTAGATTGTAATTTTCGTAAAGACAATTAAATACAATTCTTTATTTTAGTTAGTGATTAATACACAGTGTTAAGTTTATAGTTTCCTTCGATACCAACTCTGTTCTTTCCGCTCCGCCACGGCATCCTGATAAATCAGGGGAACAGATCCCCCGATCTTACACTAGCAACACTGCCGGCGGTGCGTGTGCGTGTGCGTGTGTGCATGCTTTTAGCAAGATCCGTACGCATCTCACTCATTTAAATTCAGTGTCGAAAAATGCGGTGTCCAATAATGCAGTATTCAATACTAACGTGTCTAACAGTGCGTGTCCAATCGAGTGGTGTCCAATAGTTACGTGTTTAAACGGGATATGCCCCTACTCTCTTTCAGCTCGTTATCAACCGGTCTAAATTCCATGGCAGCCGTGGTGCTCGAAGACTTTGTTAAGCCTTTTAAAAAGACTCCTTTTACACGTAGAAGTGCCGACATCTTTATGAAGCTGACAGTTATCGTTTTAGGAACAATCTGTGTTGCTCTCGTTTACATCGTTGAACAAGCAGGCACTCATATGTTACAGGTAAATATGAAGACATTCGTATATAAATATAAACTAATCTTTTTTTCACATCTGAATGAATGTTATAGTTATCCATAAGTCTAGGCTCTGTCACCAGTGGACCATCCTTTGGTATTTTCAACATGGGAATGTTATTACCATGGATTAATGGTAAGGTATGTGTTACAGATAAACAATTGTTTTATCTTTACTTGATGGAAATTATATATCTGCGTGAAGTTAGCACCTCTCTGGTCGTATAACTTTTATTCTCAGTTGTTCTAGTTGAGAACACGATAGTTTTAAATCAAGAAGCCTGATACAAGATACCCCTGTGAAGTTAACCCCCATTATTTAAAAATTTAACTTTTTTTACGAGTTCCCTATATGTAGATTTACAATAGTTCCAGAGTTCTTGATGGGTTTAAGAAATAGTTCTGCCCATTAAAGACGTTAAAATAAATTTTTTTAAATGGGGGCTAACTTCACGCAGCCCCCCATTTTCGTAAAAACTAATTTTTTAATGGAGTTCTGGATAGATTTCGCATAGTTCTAGAGTTCTTGATACATTTTAACAATAGTTCTGCACGAGAAAGTAAAAAAAACGAAGTTGAAGAATCAAGAAACATTACCCCAGAAATAGGCATAACTATAAAAGTATTAATGTAACGGATTTTTGCCATTAGGATTTTCGATAGAACTCTGCGGGGGCTACCGGGAACTCTCAACAGAACTGCCGGAACTGTTAAAAAAATTTTTCGAGTCTTATAAGACGAAAAAATTTTGAACAGTTCCGGCAGTTCTGTTGAGAGTTCCCGGTAGCCCCCGCAGAGTTCTATCGAAAATCCTAATGACAAAAGTCTGTGTGATCAAAGGGGAAAAAATTATGGGCGATTTTAGGTGTCAGTTTCTGTATTATAAGACTCGAAACAATTTTTGAACAATATATGTGAAAACGCCTAATGCGGGCCACAAGGCAAGATGTAGGTAGCCCAACTTGTAGATCTTCAAATCTTTCTGAAACTTCGTGAATCTATATACCGTTTCTTTCCACATTAGTACTACGCGCCGAATTGTTTTTCCGGTCATAACGCAGTTTGTCTTTTACACGTGGAATAATTGTCGTCAGCAGATTCACGTATTCGATTTGATAATCATTATTTTTCAAATGCAATTCGCATTTTTCTGATGCTACATTAGCAATCAGTATTCCCCCTTCCCCCCATTTTCCCCGTCCTGTAAATTAATTTTTGAACAGTTCCGGCAGTTCTGTTGAGAGTTCCTGGTAGCCCCCGCAGAGTTCTATCGAAAATCCTAATGACAAAAGTCTGTGTGATTAAAGGGGAAAAAGTTCTGGGCGATTTTAGGTGTCAGTTTTTGTCTTATAAGACTCGAAAAAATTTTTGAACAGTTCCGACAGTTCTGTTGAGAGTTCCCGGTAGCCCCCGCAGAGTTCTATCGAAAATCCTAATGGCAAAATTCTGTTACATTAATACTTTTATAGTTATGCCTATTTCTGGGGTACTGTTTCTTGATTCTTCAACTTCGTTTTTTTTACTTTCTCGTGCAAAACTATTGTTAAAATGTATCAAGAACTCTAGAACTATGCGAAATCTATCCAGAACTCCATTAAAAAATTAGTTTTTACGAAAATGGGGGCTGCGTGAAGTTAGTCCCCCATTTTTAAAAATTCATTTTAACGTCTTTAATGGGCAGAACTATTTCTTAAACCCATCAAGAACTCTGGAACTATTGTAAATCTATAGGAAACTCGTAAAGAAAGTTAAATTTTTAAATAATGGGGGGCTAACTTCACAGGGGTATACAAGATTTTCATTCAAGAAAATAAAAAATTATGTTAGCCGACCAAGAGCAAAGCGGCCTTATGGTGTTGTTCTGGTCTTAAAATGTTTGGTCTCAGTTTTACTTTGTTATAAATATGTTCTAAATCGACAATGTTGTAAGTTATTTTGTTTATGAATAAATGGCTAAAACCTTTTTTTCACAATTTTTATTTTTACAACATTTTTAAAAGTTTTTAACCGATCAAACTAATACTCTCTCTCTCTCTCTCTGTGGAACAATATTTATAACTACTAGAACATCCTGGAGCAACCTTTAAAAATTCGATTTTCTAAAACTAGAGTGACAAGTAAAAAAATTGATTTTTAGTTTTCGGCGAAAATTCAATTATCCCTATCTAAAAAAGGCGTTGCGAGTTCATTGTTATCGCTTTTCCGCGATGCCGATTGGCTCTCTCGAAACTCGATCGAGTGTCGATCTTGTTGCGAGTCGTTCTCTTCGACTCGCGGTTTTGACATTTTGTATTTAAGAGGGTTATTTTGACAATTTATGTTTCGATCTCGTTGCGAGTCGTTCACTTCGACTTGCGGTTTCGACAGTTTGTATTTAAGAGGGTTATTTTGACAGTTTATGTAATATAATGTGGAAGAACAATGGCGCGCGCGAAGCGCGCGCTTGTGTTGTTCTAGTTATATAAATTTGATCTTCTGAAACAATTCAGAACGAGTCTAGAACAATCTGAAACCTGAAACAAGTTTTGTAACTTTAAAATTGAAAAATAGTGTGCTAACTTCACGCAGGTAAATTATATTTAAATTCGCAAGTGAGGATAAATATATATATTTTAATTAAATTCAACAGGGTGCTCTAATCGGAGGAATTGCAGGTTTGAGTTTCATGGGTTGGCTTTGTCTATCTGCTGAAGCAGCTATCACTAATGGAAAAATTAAGTTAGTGTTATAAAATTATTACCTGTATGTGCAATACAGTCAATCTTGTATAATTTTTTATATTATTATGTGTAAAGTACAATTACAAATGACACCTATACTTTTACAGATTTGATATGAAACCTGTTACCACGGAGGGATGCACCTATTCATTCCCACAAGTAGAGAATTTACTGTTATCTGCACCACCAGATTCAATTTTGGACAACATTGAAGAGTAAGTTAAATAATCTTAACTTTTAATTAGAATAAATGCTAATAACTATTAATTATTAACAATGATCAAGCTCTTTAGTCGACATTAACTGGCCAGTGTTTTAATACAGAAAATTTATTGCAAAAAATATTACCCCAAGCAGGGTTTGGACCTGGACTTTTCTACTTTCTAGGTGGGCGTCTTATCAATTCGACCACTTAGGCATATGGTAATATTTACGCGTAGACAACATCTATCCTATTATTACGACAAATATTATCATATTCCTCGGTGGTCGAATTGGTGAGACACCTGCCTAGATTGTAGGAAGGTTCAGGTTCAATCCCTGGCTGAGGTAATATTTTATGCAATAAATTTTCTGTGTTAAAAACATATCGCCAGTCATGGTCGATTAGAAACTTAATCATTGTATTTTTTTATACGACTGTGAGGATACAAAGGTTTAAAAAACGATTGAAAACGTATTGCAGTATAAACTTCAAGCTTTAAAGCTTGATTTAAATATTTTATTTGCAGTTATTTTTTCATTGACTTTCAGTGTCATTGTAGCATTTAAAAATATTCCCAATTTTTTTTGTTGTATAATATAATAGTTGTTATATTTAATAGAGAACCATGGGCATTATATCGTATCAGTTACCTTTGGTATACCATGACTGGAGCCATAGTGACTATGAGTGTTAGTCTCATCGTAACTCTGATTACCTCCGAAGATGTTGAAAAATTAGATCCGATGCTTGTAGCACCATTTGTAAGAAAATATTTAAAGAATTCGAGGAAAGATGTTGCTTCCAAGGAACTTCATCAAATCAAGGTTTTATTATCTTTTAATTTAACCATTTCTAATTTTTTAGTTAAATTTTGCTTAACTAATATCGTGTTTTGTTATAAAATTATAATATGTTATGTGCTTAAATTAATATATTACTTTATTTAATAATACAGAGTTTAATTATACAACAAAATAGGTTTGAAAAATTAAGTTATACAATAAATGTTTACTACAAAGGTTTTACAGTTTTAAGGAGGATATTTGATAACGACATTAAAATTTTTTTATCCATGCACCTATGGGATCTTGCGGTACCTGTCAATATTTTAATGTTAAACGTATAATTTTATATCTTTCAGACATATTACCGGTTTGAAGACAAATCCAACCGAAAATCTTTCTAGCTTGAGTATGGGTTTAGGTTTAGATATAGGTTAACATCTGTATCATCCATGGAGTCTATATAAGGAGACCGAACTCCCGTAATCAGAGTTGGCCAACATTTTTGGGAAATTTTCGCCCCAAAAAAGAATCACTGATTGTGAGAGCGCTGTCAAAGGAAAACTCGACTCCACGGTCTTGTTTACAGGTCTCCTGACATTGGGTGCTTACGAAGAAGCGCTCGGAGTTAGGTTTGGGTCGGACATGCGTACGCCTCTCTATGATTCATGTATTTCATGTCTTGCCCGAACTGTCTCTAATAGCAACCCGGGTTACTCGGGTTACTCGGGTCTCAATCGGCCTGCCCAAACCCGAGTAACCCGGGTTGCTATTAGAGACAGTTCGGGCAAGACACGAAATACATGAA